TTGTAATACTTTAAGCAATAAAAAAATAAATAAATAAATAAATAAAATAAATAAAATTAAAAAAAAGAAAGAAACACAAACCTGGGCTTTTAAAACTATCTAAAACAAAAGCTGAACTTCAGAGCAGGCCTAGGGGGGAAGGGGGGAGCTCGTCCTGTGTTCTCACCTGCTTGCCTAAGCCCTTACCTGGAGAAGGTGACAGGTCATGGCTGTAGCTACATGCAAATTCTCTAGCCCCACTGTCAGCCAAGTTCCCAGCCTCCACACTGCTAGCCCTTCGGTATCTCTCTAGGACATTGTCCATCTTCACTATGTCCGAAGGACTAGCAGAAGTAAAAGGCACCCAAGTCTGGCTGGGAGTTGAGAGTCCCAAAGGCCACTGACTCATCTAAAATGGCATGAAGGGTTTAATCATTAACCTGACATCCCCCAGGCCTTGACTGCTGGTTACCAAGGCACCCATGAGGTCCCCACCCAGGTTCTGACTCTCAGGCCCTTTCAGTCAAAGGCCCAGCTGGGCAACACCCATGCCATGCCAGGGCCTTCCCCCCTGTCCAGGGAGGTGAGGAAAGAGGACCAGGAAATGTGGCTACGACAGATTTGAAAAGACTTAAAATCAGGCAGAATCAGTCACAAGGCTGGAGAAAACAGAGAAAGAAGGCAGCAAATTATCTGGGGATTTTTATTCAACTCATGAGTCTTAGGGTTTCTAATTTTAGGAGACATTGGGGTTTCATTAACTATAAGTATCTCTTGTGTGCGTCCTTCTCCCCCCCATGTTATTACACATAATTGGAGACAAACAAAAGAAGCATCGTGGCTGCCATACGTAGGTGGTTGGAGATGTGGCCTCCCCTTAGGCAAACATAAAACACAGCCCTGGGCCTGACCACTGGCCCATGAGGTCCCAACAAACCAGAGCCTGGGGCTCCTCACAGGGCAGTGGGCAGAGCCCAGAAGGTTCCAGAAACATTTACTATCTGCCCACATAAGACCCAGCCATAAATTAGGCATACGGGCAATGTTATCCCATCCCAAAAAGGATGCATTTTCCAAACTTCCCTCTGGGCTCTCAGGGGCAATACTGGGCAACAAAATTTATCAACCATAATGGGCAAATATGATCCCACCTAAAAAAAAAAAAAAGTTCTAGACTTTGAAGAGAATGTCTGTATCTGAGTAGTGACAGACGGCTCCAAGAAAACTGAACCGACAGACCGCCATCAACTCAGATTCCACAGGGATTGCATGATCGGCGGAGCAATGAACCCTCTGTGAGAACCGGCCTGTTATTCTGAAATCACAGTGATTAAAATACCCACTTGGCAGTCATGTGTTACCTGGTGGAGACGGTCTTACTGGACAACATCGTTCATAGCATTTCAGAGCTGGAAGGGGCGTTAGAAATGATCGCCAAGCCTCCTTCCCGTTGCCCATCTCCACCCTTGGGGCAGGTGAGGGGGCTGCATCCCAGGGAGACCAAAGAACTAAGCCTGTCATCATCGGGAAGACACCACCAGGCCCACACCCTCCAACTCCCGGTCCAGGCTGCATGCTGCGCCTCGCCCCCGCTGTGAGGGGTCCCTTGGTGCCTTCGTAAGTTAGAGAAACACACAGAGACACAAACCTAGGCACACATGGTCACACAAAGACCTAATCATTAACCACATATACCAAACTGCTTTTCTACCAACCAAGACACTGGACAAGGCCAGGGGACTGAGAGATCTGGGGGGGGGGGGACACAAACCTAGGCATACATGGTCACACAAAGACCTAATCATTAACCTTAATCATTAACCACATATACCAAACTGTTTTTCTACCAACCAAGACACTGGACAAGGCCAAGGGACTGAGAGATCTGGAGGGAGGGGAAGGGAAGGAGGAGGAGGGGTTCCTGAGTACACCCCTCGACCTCTAAGGTGCACATTCTTCTCAAAAGCCTATAAGCTTCTGCCTTATAGAAACACAGTCTCCAAAACCGAGCTCAACTTTCCCAACTTTTTTCCCTGCCCAATAGATAAAGGAAACAGCCAGAAAGCAACAACGGCCAGGTTCTGGCTCGGACCAGAACTCACACCCGCTATGAACACCTGAGGCCTCCGCCCAGAGGAAGCCCTCCCTGGCTCCCCACCCAGCCACCCCACTTACCGGCTGCCCTATCTCGGACCTGCGCTGCCTCGGAGCCTCTTCCCTCCGTCTCTCCTGACAGCCGGGGAGTAGAGCAGTATTACCTGGGGCACCTGCTCTTGGGGCTGGGCCCAGAGACACTGCCAGGGCCGCCTCCCAGGCGCGGGAGCCACCCAGCAGGCCGCACTGAGTCAGCGGCCAGGGTCCAGCCAGCTTCCTGGAGGACTTGGAAGGGGCGCTGCCCAATGGGGTTCTCAGAGAAGGAGCCTCTCTTAGGAGAACATCGACTGGGAGAGGGCTGCCTGCCCGACTGGGAAACAGCTCCATCAGATTTTTTATCTGGTTGGTTTTTAAATGGCACACAGGCCAGAAGTCTCCTTCCTGCACTTTATTGCTTTTCAATGTAAATGAAAAGATCTGTTCGTTCACGTCTCTGGAATCCAAAATATCGGTCCCCTAAGAAAACATTAACCCTGTGGAGTCGGCAGGCTGGACTGGGGGCAAGGCGGGGACCCCATTCCCGGGTCAGTGAAGGCACCGAGCAGGCCTGTGACCCCAGGCAGGGGAAACCCATCCCTTTCGCTGCTTTCACATCTGGAATTAGACGCGTTCTAGTCAGCCTCGCTCAGAGATGAGCTCCCAGTTACTGCCACCTGCTGTTGCCTTTCCCTCTTCCCACAAGGCTCACCTGCCAGGCCAGATGCACTTCCTACATTTCTCACCCCCACGTGTCCCCGCCTCCCCAGGAATCACCCTATCCGGCTATTCCCCGCACGAAACCCCATAGCAAGGTCACTCTCAAAGTTCAAGTCTTTTTTAAAGAGCCTTAAAAAACATGCCTCTCTTGTTCCGGGAAGCTCTTTGTACTTTTCCCCCTGCTGTCAGAAGGGGAGGGGGAGACGGGGCCCTGTTTCCAGTTCACAGGCCTCTGCTCCAAACCCTGGCAGACATCAAAGGCCAACACCGATGGCAGCTGCCCTGAAACCAAACCACCTCGGGCGCCCCCAAGATCCTCCCCGGCCAGGCAGAGGAAGAGGCGGTGAGAATCCTGCCAATCTCACCACAGAATGGGAACCTCAGGTGCCCCAAATTAAAGGGAATAAACCCAACAGCCAAACCTCTTGGCTGAAGCAAGGTCTGTTTTGCTTTTTAAATTTCCCAGCAACAGGCCCGGCCTTCAACCCTGCTACTGAATATAACCAGTGCCACTTAGAATGCTCTGACGATGCCATTATTTCCTATTCGGTGCCCCTCCCTCCCCACCGTACCCCGTAATTACGGGGAGTTTAGGGTTGGGATATTTTATGATGCTTCTTTTCAAGCACATGACAATGCAGAAGGAAGGGTTATTTAAATCTGAGTTGGGGGGGGAAGATCAGCATTGTTAACAAGGCAAATTAAGAACACATTTCCCTGGGTTTTCGGTAATTCAAGGTCACTTGCAATAAACAAGACAGAAAACTGAATCATCTGGCCCATGTGGGCCGTGGGGCTCCACCACCTCGCAGGGTCTGACAAGCACAAGGCTCTGTATGGAGCTCATTGGTGATGTCTGTGACTTAGAAAATACAGCACATTAAGGAATTCAAATGATTCCCTGTCTGACTGTCCAAGCGGTTTTCTTGGTCCCCTAATGCCCACCTGCATTCTGAAAAGCACACGTAAGGCTTAAGGACAAGGACTCTACGATCTGAAAGATGCGGCTCCATCCCAGCTTCACCCTTCACTGACTGTGTGACCTTGGACACGTCGCGTAACTTCCCAGAGCCTCAATTTCCTAATTTATAAAATGGGGACAAGAGTTCCTACTACTTCAGAGGGTTTCACAAGGATTCAAGGAGATTCGAGTTGTCACGCGCATCACACACAGTGAGTGCTCAATGAATGCTAACCACAGCCTGAATGATGAAGAACACGCTTGCTTTGGGAAAGGTCAGTAAGTCCCAGGGCCAATGCTTTCTATGAAGTGGCATCTATAAAGCAAGATTATGCCCATTTCCCTTCCTACATGGAATATATTTTCCAGTTAAGACAAAAGGCAGGGTTGAAAATGCCAAGTACGAAGTATACAATACCACCTAATGAGCACCTACAATAATATATCCCAGGAAGTTAACTGTATTTCCACAAATCCACATTATCCTGCAAGGCAAGCACTGTTAGTCCCACTTCACAGTTGGGGAACCCAGGCTCAAACTGTGCCCCACCTCCTCCCGCCGGATTCCAGGTCAGTCTCAACGCAGACAACGGAGGCACACCCAGGCCCACCGGGCAGCAAGCACTACGGCATGGACCCCCACTTCTGGGCTTTTGTGTAGTTCATGATTCCCTCTCCCCACGCAGCACAAATGGGCATATTACCTCAGAATGTTCTAGAACTATGAAAGACCACAGGACTGGCCTCATCTGATCCACTGACTTAGAAGAGTATTAGAAACTCAGCCCAAGGAAAGGAACTGGCTCATGATGGGTCAGAGACTGCGCTCAGGTCTACTGACTCCGAAGAGCCAATGGCTGCCGGCTGTTCCTAAAGGAATAAGCCAGCGACAGGAACAAGCAGGCACAGCTCTGAACAGATTCCAAAGCAATGCAGAGGTGAGCTAAACAGACACCCCCACTCCTCCCTCCCCGCCCCCAGGCAGACAGGAGAGAAAAGCCTGCCTGTGTGTCTTCGGTTCTCCCGTGAAGCATAGCCTCGAGATTATTAGTGTTTAAAATTACCTTCCTAGATGCTTCATGAACTTCTGTTTCAAGGCCACCCACTCTTAACTGTTGCACACACCCTCCCAGTCTGGTCTCTCCTCCCCACGTGCAATCTGCTTGGCAGTGCCGTCTGTCTCCAGCGAAGGAGTTTCATCAGGTGGCCGACCCTTGTAAATAATTAAAGGGTGATCCCATAGCCTCAGTGAGGTCTGTCGAGAGAAGCGTGGCCTGTTAAATTAGACATGGGGGGAGGCACCGCTCACAGCCTAACAACTGCTTCCTCAACAGATGGCGAGCACGGTGGATCGGGAACGCAGCCCACAGAGCCAGCCTGCCTCAGGGAAAAACAGGGCGGAGCAGGGGCCTCCGTCCAGCAGGCTGGCTTTAATGACACCAGAGCTGCACGCACAGCGGCTCCTGCAAAGGCTGGTGGGGTCCTGGGCAAACCCACCCCCCACTGTGGAGCTGTTTTCTTACCTCTAAGACGACCTCCTTCTTTTGAATTTGGAGGAAAACACCAACCAGAAAGCAAAATCACCCAAAGCGCTAATCTTTGGAGGGGCAGGGAAGAACTCCATAAAGTAAGAAATGCCAGCTTCCCCTCCATCCCCCCAAAATCAAGTCCCGTTTGGTGGCTCGGTCAGTACCCTGCCGACTGGTTTCTGTACCAGTAAGTGATGGAGTGCTCTGTGCCTCTGTGCATCTGTGTCTATACATGGAGGTATGGACACACACACCTATGCTTTACAAAACAGGAACACGCTGTATATATCATTCGCTCTGCAGCTGATTTTTTTTACACTTAATCATGCAAACCTCTCCAAGGCAGTCCATAGATCCACCTTGTCCATTTTACAGTCATGTAATATTTCATAACTGATTCAATCTTCCTCTTACCAGTGAACACCTCTTACTTATTTCTATACACAGTGCTACAATAAACAGCCTTGTGCATACACTTGTATGTATATAGGCCATGGTTTCTCTAGGTGTCAGATTCCCAGGCGTTGGATCACTGACCCCTAAGGAATATACCCTTTCAGTTTTAATAAATACCAATTTGCACAACTCGATTGTGTCTAAGAGTTGCAAACTGCTTCCTGGACCAGAGACTTAGGGACCCAGCAGAAAGACCCCTAGGCCTCTGCCACCCACCTGCTCCCACACCCAGGCCACCCCTACCTCCCACTCCAACCAGTGCTGCTTCCCTTTCAACTCCTTCATATCCTGGCTTTCCATAGAAGATTTCACTGGGGAAGGAAAGGAGGCTTGCTCTGCCTTGAATGTTTGAAAATCACACTGTGGTCGGCAAACCGCAGCTCGGAAGCCACATGTGGCTCTTTGGCCCCTTGAGTGTGGCTCTTCCACAAAATACCACGTGCGGGCGCGCACGTACAGTGCGATTGAAACTTCGTGGCCCATGCGCAGAAGTCGGTATTTTGTGGAAGAGCCACACTCAAGGGGCCAAAGAGCCACATGTGGCTCGCGAGCCGTGGTTTGCCGAGCCAGTTTGCCGACCACTGTCCTAAAAGATACTAATAGCTGCTAACATTTATGCAGCATGTACTATGTGCTTGACACTTGATAAGGATGATCTCATTTAATGCTTCAGTGGCCCCATTTTACAGATACGGGAACTGAGACTTAGCAAAGTGATTTTGGTAAGGTGGCTCCAATGTGCTGGTAAGATGTGGAGCCTGGAGAGCCCTAGGCGACATGATTCCCAGGTCCACACACTTGCTTAGCACTTTAGTACCTGCCAGTGAGGGGACTGAGCACACAGACACACACAGACCCACAAATGTAACATGCCTCCAGACCTAGGCCTATTGGCCTCTCGGAACCAACTTTATTTGACCTCACCCTTCAGGTTGGCGAATCAAGGCCACACTGTCACTGTGAGAAGGTACCTGGACCTCCTCTTCTCCCTGAGGACCCTGCCAACCCCCAGCACCTCACCCCCCAAACCCAATGGCCACCACCCCTATTGCTGACCCTCCATGACCTCCTACTGGGCAGATCTGCCCTCCCCATTTCATAGCCACACACCCTGCAGGAGGAGGAAGTGAAGAGCAAAGGCAAAAGATCCTCTCAACAGGATAAAGAAGAAACAAGAGCCCTGGCTGGTTTGGCTCAGTGGATAGAGCGTCGGCCTGCGGACTGAAGGGTCCCGGGTTCAATTCCAGTCAAGGCATGTACTTTGGTTGCGGGCACATCCCGTGGGGGGTGTTCAGGAGGCAGCCAATCAATGATTCTCTCTCATCATTGATGTTTCTATCTCTCTCTCTCTCTCCCTTCCTCTCTGAAATCAATAAAAATATATTTTGGGGGGGAAAAAGAAGAAGAAGAAACAAGAGGCCTCCAATGCACTGACCTCTGACCTTAGCACTATTTCTATGCTGGGAGGGTCCAGATGCAGAACTGGGAGAAAGGAA